GGAAGATCAACACTAAAAAATTATTATAGGTAATAAAATGTATACTTTTACTAAGAATATATAGTATAACATATACACCTTGAGGCAAAAAGAATTGCACAACTGTCCTAAACTGAACCCCATATCCTTATCACTGGTGGCTCTGTGGTACTGTTACTCTGAAATCTTTATATGTGCATTGTAGATACAACTATTAAGGCTTATAGAACATTTAATGATTCAAGTGATTAATAATGATTAATGATTATGACCACTAATGATTAACTTTTCTGTTAAAGGGGCCAGGGATTTAGCTCAGCGGTTCTGCCACCTGCCTAGAAGGTATGAGGTCCCAAGTTCAATACCCGGTACCAAAAAAAAAAAAAAATCTGTTAAAGTCTATATGGCTTTAAATGATTCAAAATTCATTTAAATTGGGTCAACCAGATCATGTGGACCTTGTAATGTGATGTGCTGAGAGTTCAGGAATTCTACACCGACCAAAGAAGGCCTAGGAGGGCAGGCAGTGTGCTCAAAGCATTGAGAAGGCATTGCTCAAAGCAGTGAGAGTGAGGCCGAGCGTGCAGTGGAGCCCCCAGCAAGTGGGAGACGCCAGGAACATGAAACATCTGAGGAAATCCACAGCAGTAAGAAAGCTGCCCCCAGAGAGGGGCCGTGGAAGCTGTGGCAGGCAGTGCCATAGGGGCCATTTAAGACATCTGGACTTTGAATCTCACCAGCTTGGTGATGCTCTGGATGCTAGACATGGAGCAAAAGGATTTAATGTTTGCCCTGCTGGGCTTTAGTCCTGCTTTGGCCCCATTTGTTTCTATCCCCTTTTCCTCCCTTTTGGAATGGGACTGTTTATCCTGTTTCATTATATATTAGCAGTGTTTAACTCCCTTTTTTATTTTTATAGAGGATTACAGCTAGAGTTTACCTTAAGTCTCAGAGGAGACTTTGGATTTGAACTTTCAGTAATGCTGGAACTGTTAAGATTTTGGCAACTCTTAGAAATGCAAATATATATATTTTTCACAGACATGTGTATGAACCTTTTGGGGACCCAAGAGAAGAATGCTATCGTTTATATCTCGATGTTCTCCCAAAGCCTTATGCACTCATAGGTGGAGCTTTTGAAATGTGACAGAATTACAGGAGTGCTATAGCTAAACATGCCATTAGGAGGTAAGGCCTTATTGGAAGAGGCTGGTCACTGGGTGCATTAGCTAGAAGGGTAAATCTCCCTCCCCGGTTCTTCCCTTTACTCTGTGCTTCCTGGCTCCCATGATGTGACCAGCTTTTCTCTGCCAAGGCCCTTCTGTCATGCCTTCCAGTCTTGGATGTGGCCAACTATGGATTAAAAATGTGAGCCAATATAAACCTCTTCTCCTTTAAGTTGCAGCTGTCGAGAATTATGTCCCAGCAACAAAGAAAGTGACACAAGCCATTACAGTTGCCTCTACCTGGGAAAATAGTAAATCAAAAACAATACTGCATCTCTGGAGGAACTGCAGAGATTAATGCCATCATCAAGGACTTTTCTGAAAGATACAGGGGTGGTGATTCTTCAGATTCCTCAGCCTTGCAATACAGACCCTTCAGCTTTCCAACATAGACTTGTACCAGATTCCACAGTGAGCTTCTAGGGCTTTGGCCTTGGAATAGATCCTCTGGCCAGTCAGTGCACAGATGGCAATTTTGCATTCTTCCACCTCTAATCTAGTAAGTGGCTACTGGGACTCTTCTATTTCTGATGCTGTAAGCTAACCTAGTAAAATCTTTGTATAAACATACATATATTTCATATTAAATTTGTTTCTCTAGTGAATCCTAACTAATGCAAAGCTTCTAGGTCTAACAACCTAGTTTACAGGAAACAGAGCACCAAGGCCACCAAGGCTGACATGAAACTGGGCAGGACCTGAATCTCACAGGGGCATGCACTGTCTCCAGAGGAGGGTAGAAAGGCCCCCACCAAGGCTGTTAACAGTGCAGGGCAAAACTCACCTGTTGTATGGCTACACGGGTCTCCCACCTGATGCCAGGATGGGTCTACAGGCTCCATCTGTGTGCTCTGGCCTACATATGGAGCCTTCAGTTTCTACTCGGTGCTGGGCCTCACTGTGATGGGCCTATCACTAGGTTCCAAGACATAGCTTTGTGCTAGTTTTTGTACCCTACACCTCACAGAGTGAAGTACTGCTCCATGCTCTGCCACCCCAGGTGATATGGGCGTCAGGAGGGGTGATGTGGGTGTCAGCTGCCTAACATAGTTTTAGCATCTTGGTCCATAGCTATTGGCCTGGCAGTAGGGGTCATGATGTGGCTTTCTTTGCCTAGCACTGAGTTTCACCATAGTGAGATAGATTTCATAGTGACTGGATAAAGGTGATCCACTTTTACTCCAAGTGAGAGGCAACTCTCTCCACACTGGGCTGCTTGGGGTTGGGGAAGGGGTTAGGTGGGCAACTCTTTCCTTCCTGTTTCTTCAATACATCTTCTTATTTTCTCATACTAAAATCAGGTACTATGGTATCTCATCTGATTTCCTTAGCTCTTATGGAGATAGTTTGGAGGTACATGAATAAGCTGTTCAACTTGGTGTTTCCATGGGGAGATGTCAGCTGGGAGATCCTTAGCTGCCACTTTGCTCTGCCCTTGGTATTGTATTTATAGTCTCTAAAATGTTATTTCCTGTCAGAGGTGCACACTGAAGATTAATTAGTAAAAAGTATAATTTCTGAAATCTCTTCCAATACTCCATCAAAAAGGGTAAAAGGAGGAATAAATTGACAAAATTGGCAAAATGTTGATTTTGTTCAAGCTGTACAATGCGTAATAATTATGGTTACTTTTCAATTTTTCCATAGTAAAAAATATTTTCTTAAATGCTATACATTTCTTTTCTTGTAATTAGTAGTAGGTCCATCTGGAGATTATTTCCAAAGAAATGGGAACCAAGTCTGTGAAATTAGTTTCTTCCTTACAATGCCTGATTCTTTCATTTTGGAATACACAATTAAACTATCTTTCTCTCTACTGTTACAAGAGGAATTTTTTTGTTGTTGTTAACTATTTGACTCAGTTTCCTATATTCACTCTTCTCTAAGTAAAGAGACATATTCATACTTTATATATAATCATATGTAGGCGGCCCTCATTGAGCAGGACTCTATAGTCTGAGACTGTAAAACCCTACAAAGCAATCTTAAGCAATGAGAAAAAGTGCAATTTTTGTGGTATTTAATTTTTTGATTAAAATACTAAAACCCCACTTACTGGCAGTTAAAACTATATAGGAAACTATTTTAAATGTTTTTTTAAAGTAAATATTTACTTAGTGTGCATTAATTTGTAATTTCAGAAACACTATAGATTTATTTCATTGTCACAAATAACCTTTATCTCTGAGAGTGAAGGAAAATGAATTAATCTAGATCCAGAACTAACTAACCAATCCTAGAGCACATGGAGATTCACATGTTCATGTCTGACCTTAACAAATATTTTCCTCATTGTTGCAAAGTCACCATTTTTTTTTCAACTTAAGATAGGACCTGGGGATCTTTCCTATATTGGTAAGCTATCATAATCCTTTCAAAGTTTGGATCAGTTTCCATCCTTTTATCCTTTTACTTCAACATCATAAAAAATTCAACATCATTTGAAAATTCCTTTTCTAATAAAACTAAGTTTGAAACAGCTATGATGTCTCTTGGAATTCTGTGAAGGTACATAAAAATTCCCTATGAGGTTCTAGACATTGGACATGACTTTATATAAAATCCTTAACAAAATACTGACAATGAAGTTTATACCTCTAAGTCAATGGTTTTCAAAGCATCTTTTAGCAATCAATGGCTCTCAAACTTTCTTCAAGTGAAATTATACTGAAAACAAAACTATTCTAGAGTAAAGAGGTGGGGATGGAGGACTCAGAATTCTGTCCATGGGCCTCCTTCTTTCAGCTCCTAGGTCACCCCCAAACATCTCCAAGAACATAGTATGCAAAGACCTGCACTTGCACTCCTTAGTAGATCAATGGTCTATGATTTATAAAGTAGAGTCATTAAGTCACAAACTATGATGCAGATTAACTAGGATCTGACATGTGCATTCTACCCAGTGCATTGATACTTGCAGGTCAGCCCAGTCTTGGCAGAATCATCCAGCCCATCTGTTTGTTTCTCTTCTGCAGAACATTTATTAGGATATAATGTTACTCTCCACCCATCCTTGTAAAGTAGTACTTCAAATTGTTCCTGGCTCTCAGCACTTACTTTAAACATGGCTTTGATTCCAATTTTCAAAGCCCAACTTCACCAGCAACTCCCAGCCCCTGCCTGTACTTACACAGACAGCAAGCCTAAAATCAAGAGGGTATCACACACTATCCTACATATGTCTACTCTGTGAGAGTACTGCTCTCCCCATGTGCTTTTCACTATTTTAGCTCCTTTTACATATACAGTCTTTGTTCTAAGGTTCCATCTCCTCAATTACTGTACTTCCTTGTTCTCTTTACAGGATCAAAACCTGCTGTTGGAGCAGGTGTTCCTGAAAGGAATAATCAAGTCTGGCTTTCAACCTATATCTCATTAATGCTTTGGCCATGTCTTTATGAACATGGTGCCCTTTATCTTCATCTATGAGGGCAGCCAACAGAGAGAATGGAGGGAGAATGCAACATAAAAGGAAGATTAGAAAGAAAAGAATACTTTCTCCTTTAAAATGTTTCATAATGCTACTTCTCAATGTGAGTGGAAGAGGAAAAAAGGGAAAGGACAACATGCCCAAAGAGGACAACAAATGGCTAAGTGTTTCTTGGAAATTGGGAAAGATAACTGTGGCTGTGTTTGTGTGCATGCATGCATGTATGTTATTCTTTCACTTTGCTAGGTGTCCCCAGTTACAAAAGCAGTCTGACTTCCTACCTCCTATAAAATCTAAAATCTGTTTGAAAATTTCCATCAGGACTTAACATTTATACTTTACAGTGCTTCATAAGTAAGAATTACCAGCTGATCATCCAGTCCAAAAAGTTGTTCAAGGTAAGTTTCAGACAATCTTCGAATTTTTGGTTTCAATGATGGATCAATGCACATATCCCTTTAATAAAATCATAAAACAAAATCAAGAATTAATTTCATTTCACAGTATGCCATAGGTAAAGTCAGTGACTCCTGTAGATGGTGTGGGACAGGTGAGAAGAGACATTTCCCCATGGGAGAAGATGAGCATCACCTTGTGGGCTTTTTCACACTACCTCCTTGGATTAGCATTCTCATCCTGGATAAGAACAATATCCAATATCTACAAGAGCAGTTTTATTTGCTCATGATTTCAGTCCAGGAGCAGCTGGCTCCAAAGCAGAGACATCGTGGTGGAAGGGTGTGGTAGAACAAGGCTGCTTAGTTCATGGTGCAGGAAGCAGGGAAGAGTGCAGAAAAGGGAAGCAGAAAAGGTGAGGGACCAGACAGACGGCAAGGCCACGTCTCCATGACCCACCTAGATGGGTGTTCTACCAATCCCTGGGGCAGGTCCTGAAGCTCTTCGAGTTGAAACATCACCCTAATTTGCTGACCTCCCCAAGGAAAGGGGGTCATCCTCAATGTGAAATAATCTGCCCTATGATCATATTTACTGATGAGAGTACACTACACTTCTTGGGTTGAGAACTTGTGAACGTTAAGACTTTGGGACCTAAAAGGCTCCAGAGGGATTTGCTAAGAATCTTGAGGCTAGAAGCATTCATTGACAAGACTTTACTTTGGTACTATGCTATCAGTATTTTATCTTCAAAATAAAATATTTACCTATCATAAGTTAAATCAACACTTACCAAAGAAGACTTTCCAGGCCATTTTCAATGATAACCATGATCATTTCCTCTAAATATTTCAGTGGATCCATGGGGCGGTTAATAATTACACCACATAAAAGTGCCTGTTTAAAAAAAAAGATAATTTGAATCCATGTTTAAAGAAAGAAAGATGCAGCCAAGAGGTAAGGGAAGGGAAGGGAAAGAGACATAAAAAAGAATTAAGATGTGTTTGTCCATGTACCAACTCCTCACACTGAATAATTATTATGTACTTATAAAACAAAAGCACTGACATGGTTCCAAAAATAAATGTACATGTTTTCACTCAGCACCAGCCTTTTCCCCATACAATTAAATAGCCAAATAATGTAATAGTTTTAAGTAAACATGCTTCTTACAAACTCTTTTGTATTTATCCAGTGTTGTTATTTTGCTAAAGTCAAATCAAAATGCTATATTCTTTGCCTCTTTCTAAAAACCCATCATAGATGACACAATAGCTAATAGTATTTTACATTACATGAGAAGTGCTTTGTACCAATGTGAAGACATAATTACAATACTTAAGATCAGTGGTTCCTACCATTCTTAAGTGTGATGAATCTACTTTTTAAAATATTCTCAGACCCACCTGTGAAAGCAATTAAGAAAATCTGCCACAAAAATCTGTGAACTGAAGAAGTAAGAAGTGCATGCATAAGGCAGTCATTGTGGTGCTTGCCTACAATGCCAGCACTCTGGGAGGCTGAAGCAGGAGGATCAAAAGTAGGAGCCCAGCCTGGGAAATTCAGTTATTTAGCCAAACCCTATCTCAAAATAAAAATATAGAAAGAAAAACAGAATAGACTGGAGATTTAACTCAGTGTGAAGGTCCTGTGTTCTGTACTCAGTACCAAAAAGAAAAAAAAAAGCATTTGTAGATGGTCATTTGCAATTGCCATAGAATGTCCACATATTGGAAAATTAGTAGCACAGTACATAGGTGAAAAACAAATGACTCACTGGATAAAAGATGATGCTTAAAGGGTATGTATGCAAAAATTGCCAGAATGTCCACATATTGGAAAATTAGTAGCACAGTACATAGGTGAAAAACAAATGACTCACTGGATAAAAGATGATGCTTAAAGGGTATGTATGCAACATAGAAGTCAGAAAGATGCTGCCGACTCATTTTCCTCTATACTGTCCCACAAATGCAGAATTAATGTGGATTTCTCCATTTGAGACAGAGGGAAACGTTACAGCACACAGCTCACCAAAACTACCTGGAATCTTAAGTTATCTTTTTTTGGGAGGGGGGAATCCCTTTCTCTGCGTGGGGTCTAGGTGAGGGTGGGGAAGTTTTCTTTGGCTCTGTTCCCACTTAGGACTCATTCCTGGTGGCTTTTTTTTTTCCCCCCCAGTTTCTCTATTTCAGGAACAAAGTGATTCTATCCCTGGAGTTATACAGAGCAGTTCTTCCAACCTCCATGGGCCAAGAAATAGAAGGGGGAAAAAAATATAATTTCTACTAATTTGACCCTGCATAGTCCATTTCTTCCTTTGCAATAGCTCTAGGTGCCCCTCTTAGTATGCAGCCTGCAGGCTGGGAACACACTCCTTAAGACATTAGCAAATGTCTCAGACTTAGACATTCAGTTTCTTTCCCTCTCCAGCTCTGTCTCATGGCCTAGCCCGACCCCAGGTGCACTCAGATTGAATTCAGCCATCTGTATATCCATTTCCTTCTCCCCCAAACCAGAAGATGGTTGCATGGGAGATCAGTGGTTCTGAATTGGAAAAGATGTCTATTAACTAAAAGGCAGCAATAGAAGGGCTGAACTCTTATATTCCCATAGCTCCCTGAAGAGCCCTGGTAAAAAGCCCCTCTGCTCTCTGGTGCTTCCATACATGGGTCTTCAGAGTGTTAAGTTTCTACAGTTCCCACTCGAAATCACCTCTTCCATCTTATTCTGGCACCTTGAGGACATCTATATCAGAATTACTTAGGAGATGAACTGGTCTGTGAACACGGGTTTAGGAATCTGTAGTTAAGGTGATTCTTATCCACCAGAAGTCTGAGAACTTTAATGAAGCTTAGCTTTCCAATGAGATTTTAAGAAAGTTGGGGTCTGGTTAATGAGTATCAGAAATTGTGTATTTCTTTATATTTTCAAGCTCCACTGATCAGAAAAGTACTTTTCCAAAAAGCTATCCTGCAGAAGTCAGGTTGAGAAGATAAATCTTTGAAATGCCAATAAAGCCATATGGAACTGCAGAGTTGAAATGTTCACTGTTTGATAAGAAATATCTGTTCATCTTTTCCACTGGACAAAATAGCACAGCATGAAGTCTTATGTATTAATGAATGAGCAATGCATAACAATGTGCCAATAAAATAGTGCAGTTAAACAATGGTTTTCTGTGCAATGAAAAAAATTGCAAAATCAGTAACTTAGCCGTCATTATAAGCAGAAGCAAAATACAAATATTCCCATAAGATTAAATATTACATCAGTCAAAGCTTTATTATTACTAGCCTTCACAGTAAATACTTACACAAAGACAAAAAAAGGCCATGGCTTTATTATCCCAACTGGCTTTCCCAAGCTTGTAAATTCCCATAATAACTATCATTGCTCCATTTTATTTTGGTTCTGCTTTTCTAATCTCAGTCCCCAGTATTTCTCAAATACTTCAAATGATGCTCTGAGTGTACTGAAAACAAACAGGGATTCCTCCAGACAGTTGCTTCCCCTGCTTTCTACTTATCTTTCAAGGAGCAAGGAAATGCAATGGGAGGGACCCACTGAGTTTAAATCCTGCGATCTTCTAGTGTACATCTGCTGGTATAGGTTACAGCTCTGTTCCTGTTTCCCTGACTATAATGCAATAAAGTACATAGGCCACAGCACTATCACGAGAATTAAATTAATATATGCAAACTACTTTGAATAGTGTCTAGAACAAAATGGGCACTCAATAGATAACAACAGCAAGCCATCATCAGAATTTTTAACCCCTCCACTGCTAATTACCACCTTCATTAGAGAAAAAGATTCAGACAAACAGAAAATAAGTTCAAAATATTCCCTTGTACCTAATTCCAGCGTAATGACATAGGAAGACTGACTTTATACCAAGCCCAAGGGAAGAGGTTTCAGAAAATGCAATTGGGGATAATAGTGAAGAGAAAGAAACTGAGAACAGTTCCCACTGAAAGGGCGAGACAGTAACTGTCTGTTATATTCTGGGTGGGCAAACACAGATGTAAGACACATGGGAGAGAAAGTCCTGTTTGTCTTATTAGATACTCAGATAAACATATTGAAATGTGTTAAGGGCCTAAATCGTAAAAATAATTGCTTTAAGGGTGCAGAGATTAAAGTGATTATCAAATGTTTGTAGGGTTCTGAGAAGTTGGAGATATCTCCCAAGTGTCAAGGAGAGGGCAGGGAGCCTGCAAGTACAGGAAAGGAGAGGCCAAGCCAAAGGGGCTCAGACCAGGTATGGTAAAGGATGAATGTAAGAGGGGCAGACAACAGGGGCATTCTCTAGGGAAGTTGGAAGCATTCCAGGACCTGGGACCATGCCCTCCTCCAGGCCCAACAGGTCACTGTCTTAGTCTGAACTTTTGAAGGACACATTCAAATCATACTAGTCCTTCACTATCAAACCCCAACAGATCAATTGCATGGCTAAACATTGGAGAGTCACAAATAGTGTTTCCAGCGTCCAGCTAGATATAATCTTGATTTGTAAGAGTAATAGTTTAGCTGAGTATTGTGGCACACTCTTGCAATCCCAGCATTTAGGAGGCTGAGGCAGGAGGATTAACATAAGTTTGAGGCCAGCCTGGGCCACATAGTGAGACCCTGTCTCAATAAAGAAAGAAAGAAATAAATAAAGTAAGTACTGGGCCAGAGATTTAGCTCATGGGTTGTGCTGCCTGCCTCGCAAGCACAAGATCCCGAGTTTGATCCCTGGTACCAAATAAATAAATAAATAATGATAGTTTAGGTCTTGTGTGTGCTAGGCAAGCACTCTTCCACTGAGCTACATTCCTGGCCCTTTTGATTTTTTATTTTGAGATAGAGTCTTGGTTAGTTACCCAAACTGGCCTGAAACTTGCAATCCTCCTGCCTCAGCCATCTGAATGGCTAGAATAACAGTTGAAGACCACCACAACTGTCTACAGAGTATATTGTTGCTTCTGGATTTCACAGATGAACCAAAGGGTCAGGTAATGCACAGAGCCAGGTTTTTAAACTACAACCCCAAGGCTTCTCCTTATCCATACCATGTACTCAGGCTGGCCTTGTGGGCTCAAGCCAATCTCCAGGCCTCAGCCTCCAGAGAATAGCTAGACTACAGATGCACCACCTTGCCTGGCTTTTTCATGTGACAAATGTGTGCAATAATTACCCTCCTCCTCAAAATCTGATAACAGAGCCTTCATGATTAGAAATATATGAAATATTTAAAACTAGAGGTTTACAACTCAGTCCTGAAAGAAACATGAAAGTATAAAAACTTTTCACAAAATCATGAAAATTCAAAGTGACTTTAAAATTGTGATACGTAGTTTAAGTCCACCCTCTGCTGGGCATATCTAGTTCTGCAAACCCTTTCCATCCATCCTAGAAGTTAAACTGAAATTTGAGCTCAAAATCTTAAGAGCACTTTCTTGTACTGATAGGGAGCCCACTTGCTAAGACCCATCATAACTGGCTCATCGTTGGGCTTGTGGAACAGGTCTTCATCTTTAGACAGGGTGCTAACTTATGCCTCATAGAAAACTGAGGTAGAAACAAAATTTTAAATATTTTTTTGGTGACCAGCATCTGAAATTCTAGCAGTAGGGCATCATTATGTGGGCTCCTGATGAGTTCTCTAAAAATACACTCCTCAAAAACAAAAACAAAAACAAAATAAAAATACACTCCTAAGTTTGACCCCTGGTACCAAAGATAAATAACATTTTTATTAATTCAAAAAATATATAAACACTTTTGAAGAATATCTCTCCAAAGGGGGAAAAATATTAGGGCATCTTCCACAGCAGTGCAGAATGATGACTATGGTGAGGGTGAGGGATGGGAAGATAGCACAGGGCCTTAGATTTCCTATAGGTCTCCTG